AAAAATAAGAACCAAGAGAGATTATGTAAAAGTGCAAATTCCCAATGATGAATGTCATTATAGTGTATACCTCAAATGTACCAATGAAATATAAAAATGTTAAAAAAAAAAAGAAAAGAAAATGGAGTCACCAGAGGGGCTCTCCCTAGCTCCCCTCTCGTAACACCATGTGCAGTCCTGAGGGCCCAAGTGCTCCTCCACCAGCCCCAGGAGGGCGGCTCTCTCTGCAGCCCATCTCCATGGACCACCAGCTAGAAAGTTGATCCTCAAGGGTGAATATGGATGTCCAAGGTCACAACTCTGGAGGGGCCCAGCAGGACGGTGGCTTCTGGGACTCCAGAAGGAAATAGGGCCCCTGAGGAGGCTCCACACACTTGATCTATTCCATTACCCTCAGCTGGAGAAACCGAGGCTCAGTAAGACTGAGTATCTTACAATGTGGCCAACAGAGACAGTGGGGCTGGAACCCAAATCCCCTGGCCCCAGAGCTCTGATCCCTTCGTTCCAATCTCCTGAGGACACCGTAGAGATCCCAATGGCACTGAGACGTTAAGGATGGACAGTGCGTCTCAAGGGCAACTCTGTTCTTCAGCACTCATTCTACCTTGCTCTGCTTGCTCACATCCACCTTTGTGGGGTGCAGGAGGCTTCCTTTCATTTCATAAACACTAATTAAGTGAGCTCCTCCACCACGCTGGGCACAGTAGGGCACAAAGAGCGTACAGATATTCCCCCCTTTTGGGGTGACGGTGGAAGCCCAGGGATAGCATGTCAGTCCCACCTGCCCCGGAAACTGCTGGAGTCCAGGCCACAGGGAAAGGCATCCAGAAAAGCCAAGGAAATGGCCATGAGTTCTTCACATTCCAGGGCAGACACAAGTAATCCAGCCAAAGTTCTTGACAGCAGTTCCCTACACCGCTGGGCCTACGGAGTTCAGGGTAGCACAGCCATCCTTGCATCTGGTCCTCAGTGGGTCTGAGTGTTAGCAAATGTGTTGAGCACACACATGACCTCTGATAGTCTTGAGTAGATGAGGAACCTTCCTTTGTACAAGGCTCACAGGCAGAAAGGTCAGGACAGAGGACTGCCCACCATGCCCATCTAGGCCACCTCCCACAGCCACGTCCTGCATGGGGCCAGGAAGAGACTTCGTGCATTTGGCTACAGAAATCCCCATGGGAAACAAGGCCTTCTGCTGCAGTTGGAGGTGGCTATGCCACTGGGTAGAGTGCTCCTTGGTGAGCAGTGACATCCCTGGCAAGAGGGAAGGGGAGCCCAGAGCTGGGGCTGCTTCCCAGACCAGAATGCACAGAACAGTGAGAACCTCATACAGGGCTCAAGGCTGGGCTTGACTCACCCCTACTGCACTGCCATGAGCTGAATCCTGGGCCAGTTATAGAACCACTCTGTGTCGGAGTGAATAACAGCACCTGCCTCAGAGGGTAACAGGGAAGTGATAACTCAGCATAGCACACACCAAATATTCAATGACTGCTGATTGCAACTTTAAATTCATTAGCATGTCAGCCTGGAGTACCTCCCTGGAACGTGGTGGCTGACAGGTTGCTGATTCCTCAAACTCCTTCAGGCAGCAGTGCCAGCTTACCTATAGTCCTCCGGAGGTCTTCACACTGGCTGATGTGAGGGAACTTCAGGATTTCCTTCCACTTCTTGCTTTTCCCTTTGCGCTTGCCTCCGCCCCCTGCAGAGATGGAAGAGAAAGATGGGCTCAGGTTGCTGCTATTCAAGGCTCCAGAGCCAGCATTCCGTCTCAGTGAGCTGTCCAGCAGCTTCCTAGGTCAGCCCAGGACATACACACTTCTTCCCAGGTTGGCCTCAAGCCTTTGATTTTCCTGCACGGTCTGCTGGGACCCCTCTCAAGCAGAGTCCCTCCCACCACCATCTATGCCAGCATGCTGGCCCTGCTCTGCCTTGTCATCTCTGACTCCTGCTCAGGTCCTCTTGATGCCTAGTACCCAAGCCCCAGATTAGACCATCACCTTCCCAAGGTAGGGGACAGGCCTGTTCCACTGCAGTATTCCCCGTGAACCTGGGCAATCTTCATGGAACAAATGCACGGGCTGCTGCTCTGCAGCGCCCTCCCTGCCTTCATTTTGTCTTCTGCTTCCCATGGAGAGCACTCTGCCTTAGCTGCAGGCTACATGGGCGGGATCAGTTTCCACTTGTCTTTGGTTCCTCCTTCTCCCTCCTCACAAACCCTGAGTCTCGGAGGGTATATTTCTTAAGGCTGGAAGAAAAAACTGAAGCTCCCCATCCGGCGTCATGTGGCCCACAACATGCATACGTAATGAACACGCACACACAATGAAAACCTGTCCTGAACAGGCCCGTGTAATGAGCATGCAGAGCTGAGAGAGGTGTGCATGCGGTGCCCCATCACCCCCGTTGCTCCTCCTTACCTGAGGAATGGCAGACACGAAACACACGAGAACACTCAGTGGGGCAAACAGCAATGGGGCACACTCACTCCAGGCCTGAGTGTCCCTGAGCTGACTCGTGTTTGAACCTTGGACCTGGAGGCACCTCTGCCATGTGGTCAGGGTCCCCTGGGGACTAAGATGCTATCACCTTCCTCCTGCCCCACAACGATCCTCTCTCAGTGACTTGCAAAGGTCACATGGCCCTTTGGGCCGCTCAGTTTCTTGGGATTTTAAGGGTCCTTTATCCTCTTTCAAGACCCTGGGTAAGGCCCCAACTCCCTGCTTTGGGTGGATGTGTAACCCTCTACTCTCTAACCCTCCCAAGAAGGGTCTGGGTGAGACTGGGCCTCTTCCCCTGGCCAGCAAACACTGTCACCACCTTGCCCCAACCTGTTGCCTTCCTCTGCTGTCTGCACCTGGGCTAGCAAACTGGGGACAGCAAGGCACCCTCCAGGGGTTTGTGGGAGGGCTGATGAGGCAGGCTCAGAGCAGAGCCAGGGATTCGTAGCCATTGTCCAAGCTGCCCTGGAAAGCTGAAGCCAAGAGCCTGCTCAGCAAGTGGGCCAGCTCTGACCATGGGACCAGGACCCCCTCCTAGTGGCCAGGAAGAGAAGGGGATCTAATGGGGCTGGAGAAGGACGCAAGAGCATTTCTCTACTCTGCTTATCCTGCCTTCAACCAAACCAGGCCCGGCTTCTCCTTCCCAGGTCTCTATAGATGGCAAAGGCCTCAGACTTCAGGAAACAGAACAGTGTGCCCTGGGTACTCGGCCTCGTCAGATGCCACTTGAACATGACCTTGTAGACTCCTCAGAATGACTGTCTGAGGAAGAAATCACAGGCCTGTGTCACAGGTGAAGAAACAGATGTCCCAGGTTGTGTGATTCACCAGCTGGGTCCTGCTTCACTCCACGCTCACTTGCTCTCCATGGGAACTGGTACATAAGTGTACACACTAGAAAGTCCTCAGGCTGGCCCCTCCCCGTACCTTCTGCATCATTTAGTATCACGCTAGACGGCAGGAACTTTTATATTCCCACTTGACAGAGGAGGAAACTGAGGCCTGGGAAAGAAAGAAGCAAGTCACCCATGGCCCATCAGCTCATAAATGGCAAAGCTAAGACCCCAGCATCAGTGGAATCCCTACCCAAGCTCTCGTCTTCATTGTTCTGTCTATAAACTGCCCCTTCCGGTAAACCGAAGGCAAGAACAATTCTCAGGGGATCAAAGAGAAAGCTGGTGTCAGACTTCAGATGTGACACAGCATTCGGAACAGCAAGGGAATGGGGATGTAGCTGGGGCCCCAGCTCTAGAGCTACCATAAAGGTCTGCAGACCAAACCAGAGTCCTGCAAAGTTAGTTCTATTTGACCTACATGTAGCTTGTTTGCTTGCTGTTCAATGAATCAGTTGCTAACATTTAAACATTAGGAAGTTTCACGTACAAACCCAGATTTTGGGCTTCTCACCCACAGCCAGACTTCCCACATGGCAAAAACCAGCAGAAGCTGGGGTACAGCTGACCACGGACAGGACACATGGCCTCCAGATGAGCCTGTCCCCACCAGCTGGAGCCCTCACTCGGGTGGCCTGTCTGGCCTCCAGAGGGTCGTATGTGCACCCCCAGGGACAGGCTGGTCCCATCCCACCTGCCTACAGGCTGCACGGCCTAAAAGGGTCATCAGCACTCATTTTGCACCTATTCCCTGTTTGTGTGTGTTAAAATACACACAGCATAAATTTATCGTTTTAACCACGACTAGGTGTACAACTCAGTGGCATTAAGTGTATTCACACTGTTGTTTAACCATCAACACTATCCATCTCCAGAACATCTTCATAATCCTAAGTGGAAACTCTATCTATTGACAACTCTCCATTCTCCCTCTTCCCCCTTGGAAATCTCTATTCTACTTTCTCTCTGTGTGAATTGGACCACTATAGATATGTCATAGAAGTAAAATCATAAAAATAGGTGTCCTTTTGTGTTTGGCTTATTTCACTTAGCATAATGTCTTCAAGGTTTCTCCATGTTATGGTATGTGTCAGGCTTTCCTTCACTTTTAAGGCTGAATAGTATTTTGGTATAATGATACACAACATTTTGCTTATCCACTCACCTGTCAATGGACATTGGAGTTGTTTCTACTTTGGGGTATAGTGAATAATGCTGTTCCATGGATATCTGCAATGTAAGCATCAGTTTAAGTCCCTGCTTTCAGCTCTATTGGGTATGGAAAGAGTTGCTGGGTCTTACCGTAAGGCAACATGTTATGAGGAATTCTGAGGACTGGATGATACCCTTTTACAATACAGATTCCTAGACTACAGCCTCACTCTGGTTGGAACCCAGAAACTTCTAAGTTCTATAAGGCTACCACGGGATTCTCAGGTAGCCACGCTAAGGAAACCAGGTGTCTACTTTCTATACACATACATGAGTGCACAGTTTTTATAGACTTATTTATTCACTGATTTTAGAAAATTAACAGATTCATTGATTCATTCAACCCCTATACGAGGAGCCCTCTACAGATGCAGGAACGTGGCCATCATAATCAGGGAAGACAAACATCAAAGCTTTACTTCAATGGTCTTTAATGACTACAGACATTTTTAATTGTCACAACTGGGGTGGAGGGATGCTACTGGCAGTTGGTGGGCAAAGCCGGGCATGTGGTTAAACATTGTTCCATGCACAGGATGGCCTCCCAGGACCAAGAGTGACTGCTCTAAAACATCAACAGCAGCAGTAGAGAAATGCTTCTCTACCTATTGAGTGTTTTGACCAACACTTAGGAAAAGAACGAGGGCTCGGGGAGATTTGTTATTCACGGGGCAGCTGTGTGGTAGTGGACGAGAAGGGGAAGGCGAGTCACCTAGACAGAGGACGTGATGCTGAAGCCAGGGCCCAAAAGCTAGGTGAGGCTGCCAAGGGAGGAGAATCCTACCCAGCCACCTGGAGGCTGCCCAGGCCTCCCTCTGGCTGTCTTTTCTCCTAATCCTTACTTCTACAGTTTCCAGAACAGGACAGAGGGACAGGAGGCAGAATAATGCTTCCCAAAGATGTCCACATCCCAATCTGCAGAATCTGTGAATATGCTGAGTTACATTAACAAGTTATGGATAGAGGGCCAGGGATTTAGCTCAGTGGTTCCGGCGCCTGCCTCGCAAGCACAAGGTCCTGAGTTCGATCCCTGGTACCAAAAATAAATAAATAAATAACAAGTTATGGATAGAATTATGGGCAATGATAGGGTCAGTAGCCTGGATTACCTAAGAGGGACTAATATAACCATAAGCATCCTTAAATGTAGAAGAGGAAGGCAGAAGAGTTATATCAGAGATGAAACATAAGAAAGACTGGACCAGTTATTGTGGGCTGTGAAGATGGAAGAGGTCATGAGCCAAGGAAGGTGGGGGGCCTCCAGAAACTGGAAAGGGCCAAGAAACAAACTTTCGCCGAGAGCCTCCAGAGGAGCCAGCCTTGCCCACACCTTGATTTTAACTCAGTGAGATCACCACTATGACTTCTGGCCTCCAGAACTGTAAGACGGGATTTAGCTCAGTGGTTCCACTGCCTGCCCCCCAAATGCAAGGACCCGAGTTCGATCCCAGGTACCAAAAAAAAAAAAAAAATACAACAACAACAATAATTGTGTGTGTGTTTTAAGCCACTTAATTTGTGGCAATTTTTAGAGCAGCCATAGGTGACTGAAACAGGATGCCCTCAGCAGGATGTCTCCCTAAAATGGCCACAGAAGCCCTGAATGATCACCCTACCCCCAGTTGGCTCTCAGTTCCTCTAAATACACCATGACAACTCAGTCCTCCATAGCTCAGATGGGTTGAGGCACAGTTTCAAGTCTCAACAACAAACAAACCTTGCCTCCAAGAGGTCACCACTTCCAGACAAATATTTGGCTCTTAAGCATGATGTGGTGTGTTAAACTGGACACTTGATCTTTGAAGTACTGACACAGTTTATTATTTCAATGGGACTTGATTATTTCTCTATGTCCCAAGAGGCACTGAGACCCAGCCAAGATGCTGGTCCCTCAACCTATCCCTGTGGCCCCAGCTGCCCCAGGCCCACTGCCCCACTTGGGAGTGGTGTCAGGCCCACAAAGGGCAGGAGTCACCATATCCCCACTGGCCAGGACCCTGCCAGGCCCCAGCAGCAGGGGCAGCCATTTCCCAGGCCTGATCATCTGATACCTATAGGCCAGCCTTTTCTCTTTGGCCAATTCAAGGGCCTTAGCC